GTTTTCTGCATATGTGAACCCGCATACTTTGATGCATTGTCCTAAGCCATATGAAATAAGGATGGTATACAGGCTTTGTTTTGGGTATGCCGCAGCGCGTATTCAGAAACGTAGATTACGTACATAGGATTTGTCACTACTCTTTTTAAAAGAGATTAATGTCTTATGGGGCCCACTGATAAGTCATGACTGAGGAAATTGCATGGCCATGCTGAGATGTTTTTATGACGTCTGTTCCTATTAGTCAGACTTGATGAATCAATGAATGACTTAATGGATACAAGCTGGATTTTATTAATCCCTTGCATTAAGTCTAGACATTGAGACAAAGGGATACAGTTACACGGAGTCTGAGTCGTGGAAAGGTTTTGACGGTGCAAACGTCTTAACTTATAATCTGGGGGCAATAATGTGTTGCTAGATACCGCTTATTGCTTATAGTATTGGTGCAGAGGATGCTACAGGATGTGAGGTAGTTGGAGGGGCTGATTTTGCTCCGCCTGAAGGGATGGGTTTCGATGTCTCCTTTTCATTCTCCTTTTCCATCGTGTTGAGTAAAAGTTGAGCATTTTGAGCCTGAGCCCACAAGATCTTGAAATCATCGGTGTTAGCAGTTCCCATTAATCCCATTAGCTTAGAGTTCATGCCTAGCAATAATTTAGTGCATTCTTGTTTTGGAGTTGACACCGGCTCTAGCCCATAATGCTTTAGTTTAGTATGCATATGATTGTAAGCATCTCAGGTCATTGATCCCTGTCGCAGATCTATGAACTCCTGTCGTCGGGCCTCAATATACAAAGGGGGTATATACTTTTATTTAAACTCCTCTTTAAAGAATTCCCAAGTTACCGGTTCAGGTTTCCCAGGTACGCTGCTCCAGCAGTAGTACGCATCATCTTGAAGCAGAGCCAAGGTCAAACGCACTTGATGTTGTTCCGGTACCAACATGTTGGTAAGCACACATATGATTCGATCTAGCCAGAATTCCGCGTTCTCACCCTCATCGGATTGTGCCCCAACGAATTCCTTTGCCCCATTCTTCTTCAAGCTGTCAACCGTCCAAGCGGGCGGTTTGGGGTTCCTAGGCGCCTCCTCTTGGAAAAATTGCCTCATTGCTTCCAAGGTTTGCACAATCTGGTTCATGTTCAAGTTGTTTGGTTGACCTTCAGCACTTGCTCCGACTTGAAACACTTGCTGACTCAGATTGAGCATCATTCTCCAATCTATAAGTAAATAATGATTCATTTAGTTTTCTTTTTTTTCAAGCCCGAGGCACGAATATTTAAAAAACTTTCATTATTTAAGGATTTATTGAGCACCAACACATTCATAACATAAGGAGTCGTAACTAGTCCGTGCACGTGTAAAGTAAATAATATTTAAAAGTTTGTTATGGCTTGTCTACTGTAGGCTCCTCTGCGACACCCACGCAGATGTTGTGCGAAGTTCGTTAAGGACAGTTTTGCTAGAGTGTATGCTTGACACGGCTCGATTACGCTCATAAACCATCTATAAGCCAATCCATAATAAACTATAACAAGTCTTTAAATACTATAAACTTGTATAAGCTAAGAAAAGAATAAGGAGTACCTACTTGGAGGAAGCATAAACATGAGGCCGTACCTGTAAACTATTATTATCTTTCAAAAAAAATTCTCTTATTTGTTTTCCATGAACCATTTTTTTCCTCTGTTTTTTTCCAGAGTCAGGTCAGAAGACCAATTTATAAACCAAAGTCTCTAATACCAAAATGTTACACCCCACCCTGGGTGACCCGAGTCACCCAGACCAAAGTGCTAGTAAAACCGGGTTACTTTGTAAAAATATTATTTATCCGAAAAAAATATATTCTCTTTTTGATAACTAAAGAGAATTAAAAAAACGTTTTTTGCGTAAGCTTAGAGTAAAAACATCCACAGTTAATACAACCTTGGGTTCAAGCCCAAAAACAATGTAAATTAAGTTCGACTTTTTATTCATTATTAAATATTAAATAAGAACTCCTTTGGCACGGCCTCCACTTCCAAGCTTTCCTCCTCAGCAGTTGTTTTCTTTGCTAGTACCTGCGTGCAGTTAAACACCACACGCTCAGCATAAGCTGAGTGGCAAATAACCAGTAGACATATATAACATGTAAATATATTTTGGGTCATTTAAGTTATTCAAGTTATTTAAAAAAAACTTTTCGCATAAAAAAATCATGGAGGAAATAATTTCACTTTGAATAGTTACTTGTGGACATTTAGAAAACTTTTGACTTACTAGGTTAACCACAGATTAGAGACTAAGCCGTGACTAGGTTGGAACCCCGCACTAGTCGATACGTAGTTTTACTTCGGATACCTCCCCGTGACCTCGGGTCCAATAATCAGAAGTGAACCCTAGACCCACACGGTCATTGTCGGGTTTTCGTGCGCACGTTGTGGTATGATTATTTATAGGCTCATCCACATGGACACGGTCCTGCCTTGAAAGTGGTTTGACCCACTTGGTAAAAACGTGACCGTACTTGGTCAGAGTACGTTGATATATAAATTTTGAAACTTTTACTTCGTCCACTAAATGTTTGGTTAACCCTAGTACGGTCATTTAAATAAAACACTTTTTAATGTTTTCAAACATAAACCATTTTGAAATCAATTAATGGTTCAGGTCCCCTGTTGAATCAAAACACTATATTCCGTAGTTTTCTTCTTGCGAATTAACATGTGTATCAGCTAAACTCCACCATTGGTCCTTCAACTTTATCAATTGTGCACGATTGGTCCTTTAAGTTTTAAAATTCCATAAATAGTCCTTCAACTTTATGAGTTATGCATGATTGGTCCTTCAAGTTTTAAAAGTGCATAAATAGTCCTTCAAGTAAATGTCAGCTCTCCAGATGAGGTCCTTTTAACAGTAAATGTTAAAAGCTAAATTGAATACTAGCTCCATATAATACGGAGTAGTCGTACCTGATGGAATTTACTTGTATTATATGAAACTAGTATTTCGTTTAACTTTTAATATTTATGGTCAAAAGGACTTCATATGGGCGGCTGACGTGTACCTTAAGGACTATTTATGGACTTTTAAAACTTGAAGGACCAATGGTGCAGAACTCATAAAGTTGAAGGACTATTTATGGACTTTTGAAACTTGAAGGACCAATCGTGCACAACTGATAAAGTTGAAGGACCAATGGTGGATTTTAGCCCATGTGTATACATTTTATCTACTTATTTCATTTTCGGCCATCTAATTGTTTTAAATAAACTTTAATTAATTATTTAACTTCTTATGTCTTAGATTAGTTTTTTTAGTTTTTACTGACAAAGTATACATTACTGTTTAGATAGGAAAAAAACCTTGAAGCAATACCTTGAGTACGGAAAGTATATAAAACAAGTTACAATAAGTATGTAAAACAAGTATTCAGTACTCCGTGGTTTATTGTTGATTTGGAAAAAAAACATAACAAAGAAAATAAACATTTTTTTTACAATACCGATTGTGTTCTTTCCTTAGTGCACTCTTGTATATTCTTTTACTAAAACAAAAAACAAGTTTTTTTTCCTTCTGGTTCGGTCAAGCTAAAGGAATAAACATCACTAAAGAACTTTATCATACGTTTTCTTTTTTAACTGTACAAAATTTTTTTCTTTTTAAAACATATTTTACATACATACAGGTAAATGCACACAACAAAAAAAACTAGAACTAAGAGAATATTCATATAAATCATGTATGTAAGTTTATACTAATGAATGCAAGGATTTAGATTTAAAACGATATCCACAAAATATATGAACAATATATGTATATGTGTATGTGTGTATATATATATATATATATATATATATATATATATATATATATATATATATATATATATATATATATATATATATATAAAGGCAGGGTCAACGACACACCTTTAATTTTGCTAACAAACGGTAATTTGGCAAAATCTCGGCAGCACCTCCCCGCTATCATGCCACGTTACCCTCTCCGAACACTCTAAGAAAACAAGTAGCCTAACCTACCCATCCTAAGCTTCTATTTATAGATGGAGGGAAGGGGTACATGGATGGTCTCTAAAAAACAAAATAACCCTTTTTTTATTATTATTTTTAAATAAAATCGAAATATCACTAATGCTTGTTATTAACCTCACTAATGACGAGAAATGAATAGGGAGGTTACAAAAAAAGTTTAGGCGTGAGAAGGAAAACAAAAGGGTTTTTCTTGTTCCGTTGGTTCAGTATCACGTGTCCGTTTTTCACAGTTTCAATTATTAAAGATTCCCTGAAAAATATAAAATTTATACCGTTAAGTTCCATATTTTTCACACATCATTTTAACATAATTTGTTTGTCAAGAAAACAAGTTTACTTTATCAGAATATTTTTATTTAGGTAGTAGAGAGGACCAAAGTTCACTTTACTCCTTTTATTTATCATCCCTATTAATTCACTCATTAAGGCTTAACTTCTAATTTTAATATTTTTTCCAAAGAACAGCAAATATTATTTTATTATATATTATTTTTTTTAAAATATAAATTTTAATAATTTTTTTTGCATATTATTTTCTTTAATTTTTTTTTAAATATTTTTTATATTTATTTGTACTAAAAAATTAAAATTTCTAGACCGGTTTACAGGGCGTTACAGTTGCAGACCTGGACAGAGTATGGTGTTACAAATATATAGTCAAGTCATGCAACCCTACCGTTAGAGTTATGAAACTCTGCGGTCAAGAATTCGTCGAACCGGTACGGATTACATTCATCCAAATCTCTTATTTCAATGCAACGTGCGCTTCGAGCGGTTCGTTTCTATGGACCCGGACTTGGATCGGGTTTGGATGGAATGCACCGCCTATCACATACTTATAGGAAAAACAAATTTTACCCACTGTCCCTACCCCCATCCCTCCCAAACAACTCAGACAAGGGCGGCCCACCCCCACCTCCAATGGCCCTTTACTCCTTCCAATTCAAAAAAATTTATTTTCAGCAGTCCAGAACTAGACTGGTACAAGAACAGGCCGGTTCCGGTACCACACCCCTCCCTTGTAACTGGTTCCGGCTAGCCGAGTTTTGGTACCGGTTATAAATTACCCCCTCCCCTGTCTCGGTGGCCATTGATGGGGACGATGCTGGAATTGGCGGTTCTGTTTTTGCTTCAGAACCGGCATCGTGTTCGAGCCGACTTATTTCTCTAAATTTTGTAACCTAAATAGAAGTTTACACCGTCACAATTCATACTATTATATCACCACGGTTTCCATGACATTGGAAATCAATGTCATGGGATGACCCGAGGTCCCTATGGTGCTCCGTTCGAAAAATTAATTGTTCATACTCTCTCTAACCCCCCTGGTAAACTCTCCAACTCGACCCGACCCAAACCAACCCCTCCTCCCCCGTCAATTGCACCCCACTAGATGTAGTTGACTTTGGAGTCAAATTTCAAATGGAGCACCGTAAGGACCTCAAACAGATAATGTTATAGGATGACATTAGAAATTAATGTCACTAGAACCTTGCCCCTATTATATTGTCATTACACTATCATCAATCAGACTACTAACTCATATTTAGAGAAAAAAAATAATACTACGTATGAGTATAAGTTTCTTTTTGTATTTTCAAAACAATTACTCCGTATTTTTGTGAATTAAAAAAAACTTTTTGAAGGTCAATTTTCATCTCCTTTTCTCACAACCTTTAACGACTAAAATCACCATTAATGTCCACTGAGCTTTGGCATTACAGGTTCAGGAAAAGATACCCACTAACGTCCAAGAGGTCAAACCTCCTTCCCTACGATTTTCTTGATATTCATACAAAAATGGGCGCCGGCTGCTCAAATGTGTCTGTTTGCGGGTGGCCTTCCAGCCTCAAGCCTTCACTTCTCGGTTCATCTGACGTTGGTATACACATACATATTCATTTTTCTATGGATGTTTCTTTTCCATTCGTATTCCGGTTTTTTTTTTTTTTTTTTTTTTGAAAAAAATGTTAGAGTATAAAGATTAAACTTTTGATTGAGTTGCTTCCTTACCAAAGAAAAAGACGATGAGATTGTCCTACTCTGAATTGGGTTTCAGTGGATGGGAAGAAAAACTTTTGGCCCAGCTTTACTGAATTCAGCCTGGAGGAGCTGAGGGCTGCAACTAACGATTTTTCTTCCGACAACATTGTGTCGGAGCACGGAGAGAAAGCTCCCAATGTGGTCTACAAAGGGCAGATGAAGAATGACAAACTGGTTGCTGTGAAACGCTTCAATAAGTCTGCTTGGCCTGATTCCCGTCAATTCACTGTTAGTTAAAATGGATCTAATTTGGATGTTCAATGGGATTTTGTTTATTTATTGAGATGTCACTGATTGGTGTGTAGGACGAGACCAAGGCAGTGGGGAGTCTAAGGAGCGAGAGACTGGCTAATCTTATTGGATATTGCTGTGAAGGGGGAGAGAGACTGCAGGTGGCTGAGTTCATGCCTAATGAGACCCTTGCAAAGCATTTATTTCACTGTCAGTTTTCTATCCCCATTATTTTATGTTACTTCCTTCCATCTGAATTGAAAAGTTCAAGAAAGAACATAGAATTGAATAAGCACGAGTGCGACAAAAGTTCAAGAAAGACAGTAGATTTGTTTTCTTTGCCACCGTATTTGATGCATAGAGCAAGGTCTTGGGGTGGTGAATTGACTAACTAATTGGAGTGCATTGGAACAGGGGAGAGCCTGCCAATGAAATGGGCAATGAGGTTGAGGGTGGTGTTTTACTTGGCACAAGCTTTGGAGTATTGCAGAAGCAAGGGTAGACCAATATATCATGATCTGAACGCTTACAGGGTCTTGTTTGATCAGGTGAAAGTTGTGGTGCCAATAGTCGGATTCATCGCTTGCATCTCTCACAATTCCATTTTGTGTTACGTTCGTCTACTATGCACTGCAGGATGGTAATCCGAGGCTATCGTGCTTTGGCCTCATGAAGAATAGCAGAGATGGGAAAAGTTATAGTACAAACCTGGCATTCACTCCCCCCGAATACATGAAGACAGGTAAATAATCATCATTTCCTGTTAACCTTATGATGAAATGAGGTGTTTGTTTGTTTTTTTTCTTCCAAGAGTAGATAGAGTGTTGAAGGATTTACACTTAGTGCCATTATATATGTATAGTTTAGCCTGCATGGAAGATGGTGGATTAAATTAGTTGTGCTTATTTGAGTTAGGCGTTTTTATTGATTGATAATCAGGAAGAGTGGTACCTGAGAGTGTGATCTACAGCTTTGGGACTATGTTGCTTAACGTTTTGAGTGGCAAACACATTCCTCCTAGCCATGTACGTACGCTCGTTCTTGGCTACTCTAAGTTAGTTATGTCTTCCTGAACTGTGAATTATTTGTATTGCTGCTTCAATGTTTCTAGCTCTGCTTCAATGTTTCTCTCTTGCTTGCATGCAGGCACTAGATTTAATCCACGGCAATAATTTCCAGATGTTGATGGATTCGTGCCTGGAAGGTCAGTTTTCTAATGAAGATGGCACTCGACTAGTTGAGTTGGCCACGCGTTGTCTTCATCATGAGCCGCGAGAAAGGCCGACTTTAAAGTCTGTTGTTGAATCTCTTCTCTCTCTCCAAAAGGAAACACAGGTATAGCGAAGAACAGAAGCAAGGGGGATTTTAGTTCCCATGATGTACACTAAGTTGATTACTGTTAGAAATAATCTGGCAAATTAAAAATGATCTTGCAAATTATCTCTCCCATGACAGTGTGCATTATAATTTCTGATACAGTTGCTGATTTTTGGTTTTTGTTTTAGAGCTTCACTGTCGTATTTCAATTCAATGTACCACCAGGTGCCATCGTATGTCCTTTTGGGTATTCGCGACGGCGATGAGAGTCCAGCAGAACCATTGTCGTTGACACCAATGGGCGAAGCCTGCTTGAGAATGGATCTCACTGCAATTCATGAAATACTGGAGAAGATTGGGTACCAGAATGACGAGGGAATTGCCAATGAGGTTTTTTTACCTTTTTTTGTGTGGCTACTTTCATCTTTGGTTTCTATTTCCATAACTTATGAATTGCTATGTTCATATATGTGCACTCTTGTTTCCGGTAACGTATAGGACCCCATGGATTTCCAAATATGCCTATTCTCTCTAGGATTAGTATTAGTGTTTGTCCGCTCAAATAAGAAAAATGAAATCTAAAATTCTACTAGTATTTGAGAAGCATGACAAATTTTTGCACGAATGATATTCATAGTGATATTAAGGCCCCGTTTGGCATCAGCGTCAAAGATTAGCGTTAGTGTTTTGAAAAAGCTATCCGACGGTAGCGTTTAGCGTTAGCGTTTTCAGAATTAGGGTCTGTTTGGGAATAGCGTTAACGATTAGCGTTAGCGTTTTGAAAAGGCTATCTACGGGCAGCGTTTAGCGTTAGCGTTTTTAAAATAATCTGCACCGTTAAAATTTTATCCAAAACGCTAACGCTAATCTCTAACGCTATTCCCAAACAGACCCTTAATCTGCACCGTTAAAATTTTATCCAAAACGCTAACGCTAATCAAAAAAGCTGTTACCAAACAAAGCCTAAGAACTTTTAAGTGTTGGAGTAAGTACTTTTTTAAATTTAAAAAAAATTACAAATTTGAAAAGGTCAATGTGGACCTTACATTCACCATACAACCTTTGATTTGAGTAATCACCTCCAGTCCTCCTGAAATTTTCCTTCTGATGTGCCAGAGGATAGAAAGTGGCATATAATTCGGGGAAGTGGACATTTTCCATAATTTAAGGAAAGCAAACGCGAAACAAATCTTTGAAAAAATAATGGCATATCCATGCTAGTGGAGTTGATAATGATACTAGTGATGATTATGTCCCACCACGTTTGACTTAGGGAGTACTCCTGTATCTCTTTGAACTAAGCTGTTGTGGGACCTTTTTTTACTCCATCTCCAAAGATTGTCTGGTCAAATTGTGTTATTCTTTGATCGCAAATTGTGAATTTCTTTTTCTATTTCAAAAAATTGCAAGAGTTTGACATATTTGGTCAAATTATGTAATACTTTGATCACAAATTATAGAAAAAGTATATTTAATTATAATACGGAGTATAAATTTAGTAAAATTAAGTTTATTTTAAAATATAGTTTTGAAATATAAAATTTTTTATAATGTTTAATTATTTTAAACTATATTGAATTTGTGGTCAAAGGATGACACATTTTGACCAGTCTTTTTAGGACAGAGGAAGTATTTATTTTTAATGTAAATTTAGTAAAATTAGGTTAGTTTTAAAATCTAGTTTTTAAATTTTTATAACATTTAACTATTTAAAATTATATTTAATTTGTAGTCAAAATGTTACATAATTTGGCCAAAATAATCCGATTGCGATAATCTTTTTGGGACAGAGAGTCACTTTTATTTTATTCTCATCATTTTCTTTTTTATTTTCCAAAACTAAATCCCTTTATTTAAAAAAAGAAAAGGAAAAACTAAAGCCCTTTAAAATATTAGATACTAGAGTGATGTTTATATGGTCTTAAGGTTCACATTTACAATGTAGTCCAAAAATTTGGACCTTTTCATATTTTCATGAGTTTTCAGGTGGATACTTCTTTTTTAAAAGGCCTACTTTTATGCTACAAATGCATCTAGGTCCATAAAATTATCATGGACTTTAGTTACGGGCGAAAAAATTTGCCTAGATTTGTTTTATGATATTGGGTGAACAAACCACAAGAGTAAATTTTCCACTTCAATTTTTAGTTTTTACACTCCGTAGTAAAATACGGAGAATTGCGCTTTTTCATTCAATCAAAGCAAACGGGCCCCAAAATAAAAATAACATTAACTTTGTATGCATATGAAAATAAGGAGTTCAAAATGGAGTTCACTCTTCTTCATTTGCTTTTATGAAAATCTATTAAATATCTCACAATATTTTAATCTTTTGTTATAAAAAAATAAAATCACAGTGTTTGGACTTTTCTACAATTTCATTAAAGTTGGTGACATTACATTTTTATTTTTATTTTGGGATGAACGTAGTACATGTGGTGCATTTATATATGAAATATTTGCACTAAATGACACTAAAACTTAAGTCATTTTTCTAAATAACTTTTAAATAGCACTTAATAATGTCCATCATGTCTAGTGATGGCAAACATTTTACTTGAATAATGACTAAAAGTGCTACATTGGAAAAAAAAAGACATCTAATGTTATTTAGGGAAAAGGCATTATATTTAAGTGTAAATTCAGGGAGCAATTAGATTTTGTATGCAGCTATCTTTCCAAGTATGGACGGATCAGATGCAGGGCAACCTAAATTTCAAGAAGCAAGGGGACTCAGCATTCCGGGCCAAGGATTATGAAACCACCATTGATGGTTACACACAGGTAAATAAATATCCCTCCACAAACCCGGCCATTCCGTTCTGTTTATTAGGACGTACGTACAGATTTTGATTGAGCAATTTGTTTTCTTGTTGTAGTTCATTGATGGTGGCAGTATGGTATCGCCCACTATCTATTTGAGGCGATGCTTGTGTTATCTGATGATGAGCGACGGCAAGGCACAGAATGCTCTTGGGGACGCACTACAAGCCCAAAAAATTTCCCCCCAATGGCCAGCTGCGTTTTATCTACAAGCAGCTTCCCTTTTCACCCTCGGGATGGAAAAGGAAGCCCGAGTCGCACTCCGAAAAGCCACCAATTTGGAAGCTGCTAAAAGGAGCAGAAACTAATACTTAAGCTTAATTTCACCCCTGTGGGTGGTTATTGAAACCATTTCCATTGGACTATATATGGATGTGGGTACGTGTTATTAATATGTAATCAGATGAGAATAAGAAAACGAGATGAGTTCAGTACGGGTTCGGAATTGCAGTGTAAATTTTGCGTATCCTCTCTGGGATGGATGGACGGAAGGGCCATTATGACCCATGTTTTTTAACTCGACCGGACTGGCCCACATGACCTAGTGACTCTTCCGGCCCAGTTTGACCCATCCGGTTCATGAGTTTGAATTCCCGTTTTATAATCCATCTCCATATATATTTATATACAATGGTAAGATGCTAAAATAAATAGTGTTCCTACCGAAATTTATTGAGCCGGGTCAGTGGTAATGGGATGGGTAATATGTTGAGCTACTTTTTCAATTTTGAGGCTAATGATTAAAGCTACGATTTTGGGAGGCGTGTGCACGGTAATAGGCTGGTGGTATTGGATTACTTTTTTAGTTTTGATGCTAATGATGAAACTTACTTTTTTTGGCAGCGTGTGCACGGTAATTAAAAAAGCTTTCACTACTTTTTAGGTTTTAATTTACTGTGTCATTTATTGCTTTAGATTTTACAAATCTTTTTTTACATTTATGTCAAATCTCATTAATGATCGTGTAGGGTTGAAGGGATCGAAAGTAATGAAACAGCTGGCATTCCTACATCGCATTAATAAGATAGATTTACACAATATTTTGAAACCCGTAAAAAAGAAAAAACATTATTCACATCTGTCAATATTGAGAACAATGTTTTTCAAAATATCTTTACATTTACCAATGCATTACAAAAGTTCATCTATAAATTTTAGACGTCTTTTCATGCTGAGTACTCCACCTTTTCTATCTTCCTCTCTCAAGAATCCCAAGACTTCCCTTCGTTTATTTTTCCTTCTTAAGAATAGATTTTCTATCCTTTCACCTTTCGTTTATTCCAATTTTATTGCAATGGCAGATTCAAACTTTTTTTGGTTAAAAGTATTAAAACTTTATGTTTGTATATTAACATCACATATGAACAAGGATACTATGACTTCAACCCATGATATGTGGAGTAGAGATGTTAACAAGAGACATCAAATTTAGGGAATCTTCAATATTTCATATTATATTTATATACTTTTCTAATTATGAGCAAAAATTATTCAAAAGCATTGATAACATTAAGTAATGACAAGGATTCAAATGTTTGTTTTGTTCACTTTCTAAATTGTTGTTTGTATGCATAATTCTAAAATTTGTGAATGTTTTAAAACTCCCCCATATAATAAAAAAGTTAGAAAATTATCTTTAGTGCTAAGAGTCTTGAAATAGAAAACACATGTTATAAGATTGATTTGAACTAAAATCCTCATCAATTTCTTGAGCCCAAAATAAAGAGGAAATATTGAAGAAAAAATAGTTGAATATTTGCAATTGATGATTCTATTCAGTTAAATAAGCTCTGTGCAAAGAGTAATAGAAATTTTTAAAGAGTGAAATAAGTTTTAAAAGAATTAAGTTGTAATGTAAAAAATATACATAGTATATAGACCTTAAGAGCAACTAAAAACTCATATATAATCTTAGAAAATGTGCTTTTCTTATACTTTGAAATAAAATGGGGAATAAGTAAAATTAATTAAAATAAAGTAACCAAAGGAGCATATATATATATATATATATATATATATATATATATATATATATATATATATATATATATATATATAGAACGATATATAGGCATGATTAAATTCCTCATATTACGGATGTGTATCAATTAAAAAACTAAAGGAGGATATATATATAAATCAGATCTTTGATTATTAATTTTCAAAAAAATAATAAAATGGGATCTTTGAACAACAAATTATCATATATATATATATATATATATATATATATATATATATATATATATATAGGTGATGGTTAATGTGAGAATGACTCTTGGTGAAAGAAATTAGAATAAATAAGAATCGTTGATATTGCAAATCTAAGGGCCTTTATTATACCTAAAATCTGGAGCCATTGACTAATAAATAAGGTAAAAATGATTCATGCCCGTAAGTTTAGGAATGAAACATGTGTAGAGGGGCATTTTTGTAAGTTTCACAATTGATACACACGTCACAATTAGTGGAGCCGTAACTGTAGGAGTATTAATAGTTTTCTTATTAATCATGCACCTTATTAATGTGCAATAGTTGTCATACGGAGTATTGATGATTTTTCCTTTTTTATTTTGAATTTGTAAACCATTTTTCTTATATAAAAATCAATTATGAATAATTTTTACTATTGAACTCTTTGTAATATTTTACTTCTTTTTTTAATGAATATGCATTTCTCGTGGTGCAAGAGATTTATTTGTATTTTTCAAAATAAACAATATGTGGTCTAGAATTTTTTTCATTTAAAAAAAATCATTCCCCCATTTTTTTATTTTTTCATCACTTTCTTTCACATTTTTAATGGTTAATCACACAATTATGGTGCACTTGACAATGATTTCAGTTATTTAGAGGAAATTAAGGAAGTTTTTCTCGTGTGATAATTTTTTATTTGTATGTACCATTTTCATATTTTGATGCAATATATTTTGTAAATTGTGCACGCATTGTGATGGTCGGTATGTATGCACTATGATTTGTACTTTAATGTTTTTAAACAATATATAATTTATTTTTGGATTGGATAAAATGACTCATAAGTGACTTTATATGTGATAAAAAAACGAAGAATGCATTGTATTCAGAACCCGTTTATTACAAATTTTAAAAATAGTTTGCCTATGCGAGATTCGTACTCACATCCATAATACATACTGCTCTATCATTTGGGGTAATATGCAATGACTTGTTTTTTTCAAAGAGATACTTCTTGCACTAGGACTTATTAAAGCACATTTTCATCTTTTAAAATTTACATCCTTCAATGTCTTTTTAAATATTCAAATGTGTCACAAAACATTTTAAGTGCATTATCATTTGTATAAAATTCACTATCTAGAATATACAAGTGCATCATATTTAGTTTGTGCAAGGAGTATTTCCTTGCATAACTTTACTTAGGAAAATGCATGAAATTTTACCTTGATTATGAGAATGTATTTCCTTCTCATATAAATGCATTACAGTGATTCTGATGATGTACAATATCAAAAAATTGCAAACACAAAAGAAAAAAGAGCGAAGATAATAAACGCAATAATGTACCCCCTAATAGTGTCGTCTTCAATTGTGTTAAACTTAAGAGCCACAATGATAAAGGAACTTCAAAAAAGTAGGGAAAACACAATGCATCGACCCCACTACCTATCAATCTCAATGCTCATTCACTGCAAAAGCTGGAAAATATGCAGATATACATCAAACAACCTCTCGCTAAAAGAGTAAAAGGAATAAATTTATATTTCTATCACAGGTTAGGCCTAGTGTTTGTTCATTTACTCTTGACAAACAAGAATTATCCAATCATCCAAAAGTAATAAGTAACCCTTAACTCATTTAAGGCTGCAAAAGACCATTTTTAAAAACCCATAGCATGAACACAACATGAACAATAGCATTTCAATTAGAGTCATGCAGCAACAAAAAAATACTCTGCTCAACAACTATTGGAGAAAAAAATAAAGTGTAATTCTCAATTCAAGCCAATATAAAACTTAAATTCAACTGGATCTGTTAAAATAATTTGCCTATGCAGGATTCGAACCCACATCTTTAGTACATACTACTCTAGCATTTGAGCTAATAGGCAACTATTTATTTTTCAAAAAAATATCATCTTGCCCTTCGACCTAATAAATACGCATTTTAGTCTTTTATAAATTGCATCATTCAATGTGTTTTTAGCTCATATTCAAATGTATCACAGAATATTTTAAATGCATCATTATTTGGAGAAAATTCACTATCTTGAATAAATATATGCATCATATTTGTATTAGGAAAATTTCACCATTTCATAGATGAATTTCACTTTGACTCTAAAAATGTCGAGTAATTGAATGCATTATCCTTACTTTGTTTATATAATGCATTGGGTTATCATGTAAATGCATTAAATGTATCTTGATAATGCATAATTGAAGGAACCCATATAGACTTTAGTCATTAAACCTCAGTACAACTTAAATATTCTGTGATGCATAGCTAGAGTGAATAATATGCAGTTAAAAATACCTTGCTCGATAAATCAATATTAGTGCTTTTGTGGCGCATTTTATAATGCAAAATATGGGCTAAACGGATGCAATATAATAAAAAATACAAATTAAAAACAAAAGTTTATGATGTGTGAAAAAAGTTTAAAGCTAATTTAGTGTATCTTTGAAAAAAAATTAGACTTGAGATGCAAAAGGTTTATTGAAAAGATTAACATGATTCCAATTACAGTTTCACAAAAAAGAATGGCAGATTCAAAAATTTATATACTTTTATATGCACATAAGGCATTTAAATTATACATTTAAACATGACTTTATTTCAACCATTACTCTAGCTCGATTTCAAAATGCACTGTGTTTGAGGCATTTTCACAAACAGCTAGTTTGCATGCAGAACAAAAGCAAAACAAAATCAAAATAAAAGTGCATTAACAATTTTGTTTTCACAAAAGTAAAAAAACAAAAGATAAGGCAAAACAAAAGGTAAAAGAAGCCAACAATATACTCATTCAATTGACGAAGGATGCCTAAACTCTTACAGTACACCAGAAAATCAAAATAGAAAAATGCATGACAATTAAATTCATGTGGAAGAATGGTTCTGTACCTATACTGAGAATGGGAGTAATGGAGCATATGGGGGCATATACTTCATGGTCTCTGGTGTTTTATTACTGAGAATGGGAGTAATGGAGCTGCAAGACTCCAACCTCCTTATTCCATGCCATGACTTTTGCCTCTTTTATTTGGTTTCCAATACATATGCAGTATCCAGTGAGATGAGTTTTGGACTCACTCTGTTATCTAGCGCAGATCCTGAGTTAAAGGGGGCTATTTCATGTGATTTAAAGAGCTGACACTCCCATTTTGACTTTGTTTTCTATAGCTTGGAGCTACAGCCTGGTCCTACTTTACAATCAACTTCTGCAGACTAGAGCCTGGTTCTTTGGCGCAAATTTCAACAAACCTGTATTATTGAAGTCCATGTAGATTTTTTGGAATGTTATCTTTGTTTAGGATATCTATCTTTTGGTGCGTGTATTTCCATTTATCTTCCTTCCTTGGCCAAACTGTAGGGGCTACTGGCCACCCCTTTTGTAATGTTCTTTTTTCTTTTTTAATAAAAATTTTCTTTATATATATATATATATATATATATATATATATATATATATATATATATATATATATATATATATATATATATGATGGAAACCGCTTTTTCGGGGTGTCGACCCGACGAAATCAGAACCGGGTCAGCACCGCACCGAGTAGCGAAATCCATGAATTAAATAAATAAATAAAGCGGAGAGAAAGTATTTATACGTGGAAACCCAAATCGGGAGAAAACCACTAGCCTTTTTAGGCGGTGCCATGCCAAAGGGGAGGAACTTTTATTAATCTCGGGGCAATTTACATATACATCATTGTAGGAGCTTGGAGCCATTAATGGAGCTCCAAGCTAAAAGAAAAAGAAGAATGAAGAATAGTAGTGGAACTTGTAGGATGTCTGGCCTCCCCCCCGGTATGGCTCTATCTCCTTCTCTTATAAAGAGAATATATGGGGCATATACTTCATATCACACTTATGGAAAGACAAGCCCATGTGGAGGTCAAGTGTGTCCCATGTGGTGATGTCTCTTGGGTTCCATCAAATATTTTTATATCACTTCAAATTATCTTCTTCGTTTTATATCTCTGGTTCCGTCTTGAATAATGTATCTGATTTGTAAATTGGGCCGAACTGAGTTGGGCTTACTTGTACTGTTCAAATAATATTGGATTAGGTAAAATCCCTAATCCATCACGTGCCCCCTAGTTTTGAGTATGTCTCGGGGAACGAGACAGATTCAAAACTATATGACTCGGTGGGTTGCCTCATGGGATAAAAATTTTCTTAGTACCTCGGTAAGAGAACTTTCTTTTTTGGAGGGTCTCGTTACCTCGTGGGTAAGGATTTAACTTAGTGTCTCTCGAAAGAAGACTTTTCTCGAAGATTTGGTGCCTCTTGAAAGAGGACTTTCTCAGGGATTTGTGCCTCTTGGAAGAGGACTTTTCTCAGGGATTTGTGCCTCTTTGGAAGAGGACTTTCTCGGCACTTCTTGCCTCTTGGAAAAGGACTTTCTCGGGACTTTTTGCCTCTTGGAAAAGGACTTTCTCGGGACTTTTTGCCTCTTTGGAAGAGGACTTTCTCGGGACATTGTCCTCTTTCGAAGAGGACTTCCTCGGGACTTTGTGCCTCTTTCGAAGAGGACTTTTCTTTCTTTTTAGTTCCTCAGAAAGAGAACGAACTTGGTGCCTCTTGGAAGAGGACTTTCTTGGGACTTTTTGCCTCTTTGGAAGAGGACTTGGTGCCTCAGGGAAGATGACTTGGTGCCTCTTGGAAGATAATTTCTCGGGACTTTTTGCCTCTTTGGAAGAGGACTTTCTTGGGACTTTGTTCCTCTTTGGAAGAGGACTTGGTCCCTCGGGGAAGAGGACTTTTCTCGGAGCTCGGTGCCTCTTGGAAGAGGACTTTTCTCGGGGATTCGTTGCCTCTGGGAAGAGGGCTTTTCTCGGGGATCTTTTTTCAATATTCTTTGGGAGCCTCTAAACCCCTACCTGATATCTATCTCACGGTGGTTGGGCGCTCCGCTCTTATTGAATGATAGACAATCCCCGTCCACCTTTCTCTTTCTCTCTAACTCTTCTCTCTATCTTGGTACGGGAGTCTATAACTATCTCCAGTAATCCGATCACCTAACTTGACCTAATTACTGACCTCTGCTTTCTATCTCCAGTAATCCGATCACCTAACTTGACCTAATTACTGACCTCTGCTTTCTATTCTCTAGTAATCTGATCACCTAACTTGACCTAATTACTGACCTCTGCTTTCTATTCTTTTACAATATTACTTTTCTCAACTTGTACAACTCGAAATGGACTACTTGAGTCTAGATCTATCCCTTGAATGGATCTTAGAAATTAGAACGGTCCACTGGAGGCTAGATCTATCCATTTGAAGGACCAATGATGCCGAACGATCCGCTTGAGGCTAAATCCGTCCATTTGAGGGACCCATGAAGCTGGAGCAGTCCACTTGAGGATAAATCTGTCCATTTGAGGGACCCATGAAGCTAGAGAAGTCCACTTGAGGCTAGATCCGTCCATTTGAGGAACCCATGAAGCTGGAGCGGTCAACTTGAGGATATATCCATCCATTTGAGGGACCCATGAAGCTGGAGCGGTCTACTTGAGAATATATCCATCCATTTGAGGGACCCATGAAGCTGGAGCAGTCCACTTGAGGATATATCTATCCATTTGAGGGACCCATGAAGCTGGAGTGGTCCACTTGAGGATATATCCATCCATTTGAGGGACCCATGAAGCTGGAGCAGTCCACTTGAGGATATATCCATCCATTTGAGGGACCCCTTAAGCTAGAATGGACCTTTAAGGCTAGATCCGTCCATGGCTCGCTTAAGAGGACCGCCGCTGGAGTGGGTATGGGAAGGACAGCCGGAGAGGACTTGTAACGCCCCGAAAATAGGCCTATCAGAATTAAATAATTGATAATTAATTAATTACTGAGAAGGACCCAAAAATATGTGAATTATAAAGTTGGTCAATAAATAATAAAATTTTATCATTATGTAGAGTTTGACTGTATGATTCCAACGGTTCAATCGGATTTCAATTCGGAGAAAGTTGGACCAAAAAGTGTTCCCCGACTGGGACCAAATTAGTCCCAATCAGGGACTTGCGTTTGAAATGCGAAGAAATCGCAGCCCACTCCACCCAGCCACCGAAACAGTCGAAGTAGAGCTCATCACCGTGTCTTCTTCCTTCTTCACTTGGCTATATAAGGGTCATCTTCATTCCTTCAATTCCTCACCATTTCTTACAAACTTTCTGTCTATTTTGTTGCTGGGAGTGAGGAAAACGCAGTGGTGCTGTCATATTGGTGTGAGGTCGCCGAAGATAGCCACAATCCTTGCCGGAAGTTTCGCCGGAAAATTTCCAAAACCTCCATTACGCTTCGAGGTAAGCCCGTAGATATATCAAATGACTAGAATGTTCGTATAGATCGTTTCTACGTTCATAAACGGTCGTTTGGTTGAGTTTTGTGTTTGACATGCTTGAAGAACCAAGGATCATAAACCATTAAATTGATGTTAAAACTATGAATTAATGATTCCAAAATGATCTTTGAACCTTGGAGAACATTTCTATATAGTTTAATCGAAGTTTGGAACCTAAAAATGGAATTCCCGAAATTGAAGTCGTGAGGTAAAAGACGATGAACAGTGGCTGAAAAGCCACTGTCTGGATCGATCCAGGGGCTTGGATCGATCCCCTGGGAGTAAATTTTCATGGTATGGATCGATCCAGAGGGCTGGATCGATCCCCCGAATTTCTGATCCGAAAATTTGTCTGAAAATGTTATTTTTAAGCTCTAAAATCCTATTTTTGATAACAATTGATTAAGATCATTATAAAAATGATTTTTCACATTAAAAGTAATATTTTTAACAAATAAAATATTATGTGATGCATGACGGTAAGTTAGGGTGTTAACACCCGAAGCTAGGCCGCTAGTTGTTATTGAATATTATGTTGATTAATGATTATGGTGATAATTATTGATTGATAATTATGATGATTAAATCTCAATAAATATTCTGATTAAAATGATAATTGTGAATGATTTAATCATAATGAATATATTGATGATTGTGAAAATAATATATTGTTAAGGGTATCTAGAAGATCTCTAAGATATACTCATATTAATGTTGATTTGAAGATATCTAGAAGACCTCTAAAATATACCTATTTAAGTTAGGCCTTGCGGGTATGAACCCCGGTGGCTAGGGTTAAAACGTACGTACGGGATCCAAGAACCAAATTTGAGTACTTACTCGTTTGGGGGTACCACCCACCCAACAGTGAACACTACGCTGTCGATTTCTGGTTGGCCTTAAGTGAAGGTAAGTTTAAGATTTTCAAAACCCTTTTATCTTAAACTAGGCCTAGCTTAAGGATTATTTAGGAGTACTTTATATTGGAATATAGTTTAATAATTTAAACTAGAATTCATTTAAGGGTTGACAAATATTAAAGTGATTGGCCTTAGACTAAGTATAGTATAAGGATATTGTTGAATATTGAATATGAATAAATATTGAATTGAATATTGTGGTTATTATGAATGACGGATAAAATGACTTTTATTATATTACTTACAACTTATAACTGAATACTAATAACTCATGGACTTGACTTGTAATACACGTACTATAGTTTACCCAAACTAATACTTAAATCTAAGTCAAATATACCTACAAGCTGCGTAATCATATGCTTACTCAGCTTAAACGCTGAGCGTGTAGTATGTTTTATTTGCTACACGCAGGTAAACAAAAAGAATGAAAAAATGATTCCTTCTTGGAGGCAGATGGGACGAGAAGGTCGGACGGATGTGTGTTTTGCATTTAAATTACTGTTGAAAAGACATAAATTAATTATGTTTGTATTATGTTTTATTAAGCTTCCGAAACATAAAATTACTCCGTTACTATTTTGAATTATTTATTATGAAATAAAGTTTTAAATATTTGAAATATTTTGAATTTTTACGATTACCAAGTTAATACTTTAGTCCGAAAGGGGCTGCAGACCTGGACGGATTAGGGTGTTACATTTGGTATCGGAGCAAATGGTTTTAAACCCGATCTTCGGATCAAAACTTGGATTTTTATATATATATATATATATATATATATATATATATATATATTATATACATATATATTTTGGCTATATAAAAAAAATTTCAATCACATCCATGACTCTCGCATCCCTCTGCTCCAAGAAGGTAATAAAAATCTAAGTATTAAATGTGCCTGTATTGAATTTCATAGATGTCAACTGTTAATTCGGAAATGATATCAAGTGGTGATTCAAGTCGCACTTTCGTACATGGTAAAAGACGAAAGAACAAACGGAATGTATATGACTCCCTGATACGCTATCAACGCGCCCATCGCTTCGCAAAAATAATGAAAAGAAGGATTTATCTACACCGCAAGGCTGCATGGGAACGGGATGACCCGGAAGACACGTTCAACATAGACTCTGCCAACAGCATCTGCGGATCCGGTGTGGAAGATCCTTCCGTAAATTCAAGGAAATCCAACTATTCAAATGCAAACGCTTAGAATAAATCTTGTTGATCGAATCCCTTGATTGTATCAATTATTGTAATCTTTTGTAATTTTTGTCATGAACTCAACTACCCAAATAAAGAATCCTAATAAAGGAATTTCTGTTAATTGTAGAATGAGTCAAGAAACCGCACACGGACAAGGCAACAATGAACACGTAAGTGTTCACACTGAAGCATCTAGCTTCACCCCTCCTATCCAAAACGAGCCTATCAACCAAGAGGATGTTCCTCAGAACAATGCGAATGCTGGTGGTCAACCTGACTACGCAATTCCTGTTTTCTTGGCAAACTTGCTTCAACAAGTGGCCAATGCTCCAATTTTTCAACCACCACCGCCGCCGCCACCGCGTGTAATCACTTTCAAATTTCTGAAAGATAATGGAGCAGAAGAGTTTCTGGGCGATCGAATCGCCAAACCTCAAGTTGCTTGGAATTGGATTGAACAAATCCCTAGAGTGTTGAGAGATCTAAACGTACCTCTCAACAACTACCCTAGGTTCGTAGCACAGTTACTTCGTGGAGAAGCCTACGAATGGTGGAAACGCACCGATGAGAGCAACGAAACCCCGAAACCATGGACGTGGGAGTTCTTCGACTGGGCTTTCAAGAAAGAGTATATCCTAGCACGTTTCCGTGAAGAGAAACGTACCGAATTTGTGGAGTTACGACAAAGAGATATGACGCTTCCCGAATATCGCCAAAAGTTTGTCAGTCTGGCCAAATTTGCACCGACATTAGTAAGCACCACGACTGACCGTATTGAGGAATTCAGGTCAAAACTCCGACCTGATCTCAGGGCTCAAGTATCTGTCATACCAACGGTGGACTTCACGGAAGCCTATGATCTAATCGCTAAAGCAGACAAAGATCTGAATGCTTGTAAGGAGTACTTAAAGAAAGAAGGTGCTAACACAAGTGAACGCCGACCCACAAATTCTGTCCCGAGTGGGAAAAGACCATTTCAAGGACCCAGTAGCTCACACTACTCTAAGAAGGGGAAATCTGTACAAACCCAATCAGTGGCGTCTGGCAACAAGTCAAGGGGATGGAAAAATCCAATGTGTAATATGTGTGGGAGAAACCATCCTGGGGAATATTGGCTTGCTCAAGGATTATGTCTGGGTTGTGGAAAACCTGGACATTTCCGAAAGAACTGTCCCATAAATCCTGGAGAGCCATTTCCACCTGCCTCTATTGCCAGCCAGGCGGCATCAACACGTCCCGCACCCAGTCAACACTCGACTGCAGGATCTAATCCTGTAAAAAATCAAAACCAACAACAAGGACGAGCGCCTGCCCGTACGTATGCGATGAAGGGAGCACTGAAGATAACCCTGACGTCATTCAGGCTATGTTTTCATTATTTGATACTGTCATGCATGTGCTGATTGATCCTGGATCAACATTATCTTACATCTGTGTACCTATGCCTAACAAAGCTGACATATTGAAAGAAAACTTAGAACACCCTATACTAGTGTCTAATCCACTAGGAGTATGAGGTTAGATTATGGATACCAAGATTGTTCGTTGATTGTCGCAGGACAACAATTCCTTGCAAATCTTGTTGAATTACCGTACAAGGAATTCGACATCATTCTCGGTATGGATTGGCTTACGGAACATCAAGCTGTTATTGATTGCCGACGACGGGTGATACAACTTAAAAACAATGATGGAAGGACCATAAAAGTGAAAGAAAAACTGACACCCACACCTACTGAATTCATCTCGTACATACATGCTAGGCGCCTTATCCACAAGAAATATGAAGCCTATTTATGTAATGTACGAGACACATCAAAAGAAACTCCTGGATTGAAGGACATACCAACAGTGTGTAACTTTTCTGATGTATTTTCTGACTAACTTCCTGGTATACCATCTTCTAGAGAAGTAGAATTTTCCATCAACCTTGTTCCTGGAATAGGACCGATATCAGCAACTCCCTATCGTATGGCTCCTGCTGAAATGAAAGAGTTGAAAGCCCAACTACAAGAACTGCTTGATAAAGGATTCATTCGACCGAGTGTTTCCCCTTGGGGAGCACCCGTTCTGTTTGTAAGAAAGAAGGACGGGTCGATAAGACTCTGCATCGATTACCGTCAATTGAATAAAGTCACAATAAAAAATCGTTATCCTTTACCCAGTATCGATGACTTATTTGATCAGCATAGAGGATCTACTGTATTCTCTAAGATTGACTTACGGTCAGGATACCATCAAATTCCTGTCAAGAAAGAGGACATCCCAAAGACCGGATTCCGTACTCGTTATGGTCATTATGAATTTACGGTGATGCCCTTTGGTTTGACCAATGCTCCTGCAGTATTCATGGATCTCATGAATAGTATATTCCGACCATATCTTGCTCAATTCATAGTTGTTTTCATCAACGATATTCTTGTGTACTCGAAGAATCGAGAAGACCATGCGAAACACCTGGAGGTAGTACTCAGTGTACTACAAGAGCACAAACTATATGCCAAATTGTCAAAGTGTGAATTCTGGCTTGATGAAGTCACATTTCTAGGACATGTGATTTCGAAAGAAGGTGTCAAAGTAGACCCCAGCAAAATATCTGCCATCACCAAGTGGAAAGTTCCAAGAAATGTTCGAGAAGTAAGAAGTTTTCTAGGGTTAGCTGGATACTATCGACAATTCGTTGAAGGTTTTTCCTCGATCGCAACTCCACTCAATAAACTCCTAAGGAAAGACGTGAAATTTGTATGGACCGACGCATGCCAACAAAGCTTTGAAAAACTAAAGAAATGTCTGACAGAAGCACCTGTACTGACACAACCAGTACCAGGTGTAGACTACGCAATCTTTAGTGACGCATCTCACAACGGTTTGGGATGTGTACTTATGCAAGACGGTAAGGTCGTGGCATACGCATCAAGACAGTTGAAGCCTCATGAATGTAACTATCCGACTCATGATCTTGACTTAGCAGCAGTTGTATTTGCTTTAAAAATGTGGCGTCATTATCTCTTCGGAGAAACAACATATATTCATACAGACCATAAAAGTCTGAAATACATGTTAACTCAGAAAGAGTTGAATCTGAGGCAAAGAAGATGGCTGAAACTTATCAAGGATTATGACTGCTATATCCACTATCACCCTGGTAAGGCTAACGTAGTTGCTGATGCGTTAAGTCGGAAGATGGTAGCCGAACTCCGAATCCAACCAACTCTGGAAAATGAAATTCACTCAGCACAAAAGAATGATGATTATTGTTTAAAGACTTGTGAACTTGTCTCTAAGGGGGAGAGACAAGACTTCACTGTGAATGACGGAATTTTATTCTACAGGAATCGTTTGGTAGTTCCTAGTGGTGAAGTGAAAGAACGTGTAATGTGTGAATCTCACAAAACCACATATACCATGCATCCTGGTAGTAATAAAATGTATCAGGATCTGAAGAAAACGTATTGGTGGCCCGCAATGAAGCGGGAAATTTAAGAATTTACGACCCGATGTCTGACGTGTCAACAAGTCAAAGCGGAACATCAAGTGCTAAGTGGATTGCTGCATCCACCAACCATTCCTGAATGGAAGTGGGAACGAATTACGATGGACTTTGTAATCGGACTGCCATTATCAGTTAAGAAGAATGACGCTGTTTGGGTTATCGTTGACCGATTAACCAAATCATCTCACTTAATTCCAATTCGACGTGATACGTCATTGAAAAAGTTGGCAGAATTGTACATCCGTGAGATCGTAAGATTACATGGTGTGCCTTTGTCTATCATTTCTGATCGTGAGCCTCGATTCACGTCGCAATTCTGGAAGAGTCTGCAGAAAGCCTTAGGTACTAAACTCAACTTTAGTACAACATTTCATCCTCAAACTGATGGACAATCTGAAAGAACAATTCAAATTCTGGAAGATATGATGAGAGCATGTGTAATTGATTTTGGAAACAATTGGGAACAATATTTACTGCTAATGGAGTTTGCTTATAACAACAGTTATCAAGCGAGTATCCAAATGGCCCCATACGAAGCCTTGTATGGAAGACGTTGTAGAACCCCAGTATGCTGGACAGAATAAGCGAGCAAAAGCTTAAAGGACCTGATCTCGTCCACGAAACTGAAGAAAAGGTTTGTTTAATCAGAGAAAGATTGCAAGTGGCTTCCGATCGACATAAATCTTATGCCGACTTAAAACGTCGTGAGATTGAATACAACGTTGATGACAAAGTATTCGTGAAAGTCTCACCATGGAAGAAAGTACTGCGATTTGGTAGGAAGGGAAAACTGAGTCCAAGGTATATTGGGCCATACCGAATCATTGAACGGGTAGGTCCAGTAGCCTATCGGTTGGAACTTCCACCCGAATTAAACAAAATTCACGATGTATTCCATGTGTCAATGTTGAAATGATACCGTTCTGATCCATCGCATGTCTTGACCGATGGAACTGTAACTCTTGATGAAATTTGACTTATGAAGAAGAACCTGTCCAAATTTTGGCACGTGAAGTCAAGGAACTAAGAAACAAATCTGTCCCTCTAGTCAAAGTACTATGGAGGAATCACTCGACTGAAGAAGCAACATGGGAAACTGAAGAGTCAATAAGAATGCAATATCCGAACCTCTTCAATCAATGACTCAGGTAATTTCACGGACGAAATTATTTTAAGGGGGAAAGAAATTTAACGCCCCGAAAATAGGCCTATCAGAATTAATTAATTGATAATTAATTAATTACTGAGAAGGACCCAAAAATATGTGAATTATAAAGTTGGTCAATAAATAATAAAAATTTTATCATTATGTAGAGTTTGACTGTATGATTCCAACGGTTCAATCAGATTTCAATTCGGAGAAAGTTGGACCAAAAAGTGTTCCCCGACTAGGACCAAATTAGTCCCAATCAGGGACTTGCGTTTGAAATGTGAAGAAATCGCAGCCCGCTCCACCCAGCCGCCGAAACAGTCGTAGTAGAGCTCATTACCGTGTCTTCTTCCTCCTTCACTTGGCAATATAAGGGTCATCTCCATTCCTTCAATTCCTCACCATTTCTTACAAACTTTCTGCCTATTCTGTTGCTAGGAGTGGCAGTGGTGCTGTCATATTGGTGTGAGGTCGCCGGAGATAGCCACAATCTTTGCCGGAAGTTTCGCCGGAAAATTTCCAAAACCTCCGTTACGCTTCGAGGTAAGCCCGTAGATATATCTAATGACTAGAATGCTCATATAGATCGTTTCTACGTTTATAAGCGGTCGTTTGGTAGAAGACGATGAACAGTGGCTGAAAAGCCACTGTCTGGATCGATCCAGAGGCTTGGATCGATCCCCTGGGAGTAAATTTTCATGGTATGGATCGATCCAGAGGGCTGGATCGATCCCCCGAATTTCTGATCCAAAAATTTGTCTGAAAATGTTATTTTTAAGCTCTAAAATCCTATTTTTGATAACAATTGATTAAGATCATTATAAAAATGATTTTTCACATTAAAAGTAATATTTTTAACAAATAAAATATTATGTGATGCATGACGGTAAGTTAGGGTGTTAACACCCGAAGCTAGGCCGCTAGTTGTTATTGAATATTATGTTGATTAATGATTATGGTGATAAATATTGATTGATAATTATGATGATTAAATCTCAATAAATATTCTGATTAAAACGATAATTGTGAATGATTTAATCATAATGAATATATTGATAATTGTGAAAATAATATATTGTTAAGGATATATAGAAGACCTCTAAGATATACCCATATTAATGTTGATTTGAAGGCATCTAAAAGACCTCTAAGATATACCTATTTAAGTTAGGCCTTGCGGGTATGAACCCCGGTGGCTAGGGTTAAAACGTACGTACGGGGGGATTCCACCCACCCAACAGTGAACACTACGCTGTCGGTTTCTGGTTGGCCTTAAGTGAAGGTAAGTTTAAGATTTTCAGAACCCTTTTATCTTAAACTAGTCCTAGCTTAAGGATTATTTAGGAGTACTTTATATTGGAGTATAGTTTAATAATTTAAACTAGAATTCATTTAACGGTTGACAAATATTAAAGTGATTGGCCTTAGACTAAGTATAGTATAAGGATATTGTTGAATATTGAATATGAATAAATATTGAATTGAATATTGTGGTTATTATGAATGACGGATAAAATGTGAAAATAATATAGTGAATGTTGAATATTGACTTATGATTATTGAGTACCTGAACTGAACATTATGTGCATGATATCAAATGGGTTTGATTATGAATTTAGATTCAGTTTATATGGATGTTTGACGCATTAGATATGCTTACTCAGCTTAAACGCTGAGCGTGTAGTATGTTTTATTTGCTACACGCAAGTAAATAAAAAGAATGACGAAATGATTTCCTGGAGGCAGATGGGACGAGAAGGTCGGACGAATGTGTGTTTTGCATTTAAATTACTGTTGAAAAGACATAAATTAATTATGTTTGTATTATGTTTTATTAAGCTTCCAAAACATAAAATTACTCCGTTACTATTTTGAATTATTTATTATGAAATAAAGTTTTAAATATTTGAAATATTTTGAATTTTTACGATTACCAAGTTAATACTTTAGTCCAAAAGGGGCTGCAGACCTGTACAGATTAGGGTGTTACAGGACTGCGAGAGAGGACCGCGGGAGAGGATCGCCGGAAAGGACTGCGAGAGAGGACTGTCGGGGATGGCCGGACTGGCGGAGAGGACCGCCAGAGGAAGTGGGAGCTCGTCGGAGGGCTGCCGTTGCTGTCCGTGGCTCGCCAGAAGAAGTGGGAGCTTGATGGACGAACTGGAGTAATCGCGGCCGCTGCCGTCCGTGGCTCGCCGGAAGAAGTGGGAGCTCGTCGGAGGGCCGCCGCTGCTTGAATGGCTCGCTGGAAGAAGTGGGAGCTCACTTCTTCCGGGCCAAGGTTCGACGGAGTGGACAATTGCTAATGGTATGGCTGCCCGCTGGATCGATGCTAGAGTGGCTGTGGTTCGCCGCTTGGTCCCGCCGGAGGTGAAGCACGCTAGAGGGCTCGCCGATCTGGGAGGATGCTCACCGACCCTAGTGGAGGGCACTGTCGGCGGCCCTGTCGCTTGCTTGCTCGCTGCTCACCACCACCTTTTCTATTTCTTTCCTCTTTTTTTTTTACTTTCTCTTCCCCACTTTTTTATTCAACTCACAAGTTTAGAGACCCAAAAAAAATATAAATTTTTTGTACTCGGTCCCACGGTCGGCGCCGGCGGGTCGGAGCGTTTTCCGGCTAAATCCGGCGAAATTGACGGGGGCACCAACTCCAATGCGGTCGTGGCATCCGGGTGACCTCCAAGGACCCATCAATTGCAAGATTTGATGAAGATTTGCAAAACCCCCAATTTTGGATCCAATTTCGAATTTTAGGATTTTTCGAGTAGAAAAATTCAGATTCAAGAAGTTACATGCCAAATTAGACAAAATGGTTTGGATATTATTGATCCTCGTTTCAAGACGAAGAGAATGACATTGGTCCCGCCGGAATCGGAAAAAGTTCATTTTCCGGCGACTTTGACCAGCGGGCGGCGGCGGCGGGCGTGGAAGAAAAGAAAAGAAGAAATGGGGTCAAATTGAAAATTTTAAAATATATAAAATTCGAATTTGGCCCTAATGACCGGAAGTTAACCTAGAAACGGGCTAATGGCTCATTAGTGAAAGGATTGTGTAAGTTCAGAGATTTTTGTTAAAAGATTTGAAGTTCAGGTACCACATCGAAATTCCAGCTAAAGTTCAGGTACCATTTGTGAAATTTATCCACAATTTCCACCCATACAACACACCTTTTTTTTGCTTTCTGAAACCAAAATACACCCCTTATTGTCATGGTAAACCAGAATTTCAAACCTGAAACGGGAAAATATACAAACAAACAGACAAAAACAGTTACTTAGCTAGAGAGAGACCAGGAAACCCCCTGCTGATTCATTCACTCACTCCACGGGTATCATAATTTCATTCGTCCTCAATGGAGGCAACGTCCATGGCGGATTATACCTCGCCAGCTCAAAATCCCCAATTGTTTTAAGCCCATCTCTATCCAAACAATTTTTCAAACTCTCCACCTTCTCTTGCACCACTTTGTCACTTGCGGTGCCGCTGAATCTCACCACTGCGTACTTACGCCCCCCTTCCTCCTTAATCACAACTCGCTCATCTAGCGACTTCGGCACCTCATCTGCCCTCGTGTACTTGGACGGCAGAATAAACTGCATCGTCACAGCCTCGTCACCCCCCTTGGTCACGACCGGCGCCGTCATCACGATCTTCTCGGACTGCTTGGTGATCACCGGCGCCGTCATCGGAATCTTCTCGGGCTTGGCGTTTTGGGGATTGCCCAGTGCTCCGATGAAGTTGGCAAGCACAGTAAAGCCACCGTCTCTGTTGCCTCTGAACTGGGTCGGGTTGTACGTGACCTCAGCTATCACCGATGGCGGATACTCGCGGATTTCGTAATCCGCGGCTGAGTGAATCACCGTGTATTTCGGTGTTTCGACGGTGATTTTGCCTAGAATCAGACCCATTTTGAAAGAATTTGATGTCTGAAGGGGTGGGACTTGGGGATCTGAACGAGCCAAAGAGGAGGAATGGGGGCAAATATTTATGTGAAGGTAAGTGATTTTGGATAGGGTCGAGAAGCATGTGTTTGGATGGAGCGGTGGAGTACCTCTATCCGGGATTTAGATATACTTGAACATCTCGCCTCACAAAAACTCCATGCCACCGTCATAAATTGCGATAAGGTTGGTTAATGTCATCCGGAGTATTTAATTTAATTTATAAATTTGAAAAATAAAATTTGTTGCTAATGTAGTATATTATTAAAAAAATTACATGGAAAAAATATTAAATTGAAAAATATTTTTTGAATTGACAAAAAATTCGTTTAAACTCGTGCGTGGCACGGGCCAAAATACTAGTATGATTACATATAGGACGGCTACAAATAGAATGGCTACAAATAGGGTAGTTACAACGAATCATATAGACAATTGCATCAGGGATGTCCCAGTGAGGGCCCATTTGATTAAACATGGCATACAAGCTCCCACGCCTGCAGTAGGTCCACAGTGTTTTGCTGGTGGCAGAGGCCGAGTACAGATGCTGAGTGCGCAGGCTCTGCCGCTGGAAGTAGGCTGAGTAAGGACTAGACTAGGTCCCCTCTAGGGTCCGAGTGGATGTAACTGGGCTGAGTATGAGCTTATATCTGAGTAGAGTTTTCACCTTGAGCCTTGGTTTTCTTTAAGCCCCCCCTCAGCCGAGTGTGTGATCTTTGGTCGAGCGCGTCCGAATCCTGCGGTTTGATGGGCCTTGTTGGGCCTCTTATTTTGTTGGGCTGGATATCCTCAGTCCAGGGTATCCATCAAAAAAAAATGGAAAAGAAAATAAAGAAAAATAAAAGTATATGACAAAATACTTGTAAAAATTAAGTCATGAACGAAATATATATGTTGTACATCGGTCCCAAAGAATGTTATGAATATATAATTAACTAAATATGAAAATGACCTTGTTCTATTTTTCTGGTATCAACAGATTCAAATAATATTTTTTTTCAAGTCAAACAATGAAAATATTTAATTTGAGACAAATGAAGTATATGCTTAACATTAAATAGAATTGTTTTGAACAATAACTTTTCATTAATTTCAAATACAATAATTTTCCTTTTTTTATGAAAAAAGAGAAGAAAAAAGAAAAACACTAAGGCTCCGTTGGGTACACAAAATTCAAATTATGAAATTTGAATTGAGAACATCAATTCCAATTCAAGTGTTTGGTAGCACAAAATTATGCGGATTTGGAATTGACAGTGCAAAAAATGAATTGGAATTGGTGAATTCAATTCTATGGAATTGAATCTCATGAAATTTCAATTCCAAATTTAATTCCAATTTTATCAATTCCGTTTGAAAGGTGCAGCGGAACAAATCATGAAATTACTGGAAGTATTCACTATTCACGGTAGCAAGCCTCTGCCATCAAAACCTCCCTCATCGCAATGTGAGCTCGCGAAAGGCTCATTTATCTATGTGCACCCACCCACACCCACACCCACCCAGTTTCAGGACAAAACCACAAACGCAAGAGAGGGGAGAGACCGTATGTACCCTACCGAACGATCGAGAGGGAATGGAAAAAATAAACAGTGCGGAGGAGTGGTGATGAGGCTGGCGAGGTAAAGTCCAATCCAATGCTGGGAAGTGGTAAAATTACGAAACGCGCCACTGATCAGAGGAAAAAGAACAGAGCTTTTTCAACACCTGTCTTCGCTCCTCTATCTGCTGCTCCCACCTCACCACCCACCTTCCATTAATCTCCTTTCTCTTGAGATTAATGATCACATCACTCAATTTACTACGTACAGTACACTCACTACTAGTAAAGTCATTTGGCATCCGAATTAAACTAATTAAGCATCTCTCAATAATAATTATCCAACTCGGATATTAATTATAAATGAAGCATGCGTTAAAAGGAATTACGGAGTACTATATATTTATATTAGAAGTTAAAATTATTTTTTAAAAAAAAAGGGAGAGAGAGAGAGGCCGGTTCTGAACATGAATGAGCAGTGCACAAATGGCATGCAGATCAGCGAGGGAGGCATCCATATTTCGTCCATTTGTCAGCTAATTGCATACTCCATTATTATTGAATTCCGATCCCCAATTCATGACTTAATTCCCCAAGGACACCCACTCGCTCTTACGAAAATAAAGGAGCTGAGTTGAGGTTGAGGTTGAGAGAGAGAGAGAAAAAGGGGGCACCAGTCACTCACTCGTTCTCGGACCGAGTCACTGCCTCGCCTTTCTGTTTAAACGGAGCTCAATTGGTGGCGAAGATAGGATGGAGATTTCCGAGGTCTCAGCTGACCCGTTCAGCTTTATAGCCATGGGATTGGGATCTAGTAATAATAATAATGATGATGGCAGCACCACTGCTCTCTGCAGCTCCCCCCTATTCGGCAATTCATCGTCGTCTCCTCCTCCCCAATTCGCCACTCTCCATCTCACCGCCGCCGCAGCCACCTCCAATTTCAATGCTCGGCTACGGAAAAGGATGCGCAGCCGGCGCCGACGCCGATCTCCACTCAATTTCTCCCCGCTGCGCTTCCATCCTCCTTTCCACCCCCCGCAAGTCTATCCTCTCCATTCCACTCCTACTGTACTCTCTCTCTCTCTCTCCCTCTCTACATCTTTATTCCCTACTTACACACTTAGAGTATTTTCCAATAAATAAATTTACAACCCTTGTAGACGTACCACAAATTCTACACCCTAGCTATGCACATTGATATTGGTATAGAATGGTAATACCATAGAAAATCTTTTTACTACTCCCTTCGTTCTAAAGAGTTCCTATTTTCACCAAATGTAAAAATAAAAAAGTGTTAAATTGTAGTTGACTTCTAATTTTGTCCTTGATGTGATGAATAAAAGTAAGATGTGATAGATGTATTATTAGAAAAAAAGTATGATGTGATAGGTAGGATATAAAAAAATAAGGGTTAAAGTAGTTTTGTAATAGAAAGTAAAAGAGTTTTGTTGGAAGTGAAAAAAATGAAAGAGGAAGTATTTTTGATAATGGAGGTAGTAATATTTTGTGTCGATATCAATAATCAAAGTGTGAGTACATGTAGTTTACAACTTGGGGTATTCATAAACTTCGTTATATACCATTGTCTAACAATTACGGAGTGAAATTTACCTTGCATTAAGATATTTCGCCTTTAATATACTCCTTTTGTTCCCCAAAATCCTTCATATTTGTTATTCAACGGTGCTCAATAATTTTTGTTTGCATATGTTTTTTATTAGTTATTTGATGAAATAAAACATTCTTGTCAGTAGTTATTTTGTTAAATTCTTTTATGTTGTTTGAAAATATATAAGTATTATTTTTTATTTTTATACTAATTTATAAAGAAAATCATTTATGAAAAAGATAGAGTGTTGCATGAAAAGACAAAATAGAAAAGTTTTGCTGAAGAGAGGAGTTCATCAAATATATTTGTAGCTTTAAACAAAATAATACTCCGTACGAAGTAACAATATTTGTACCATAGGGACATAATATGTATCCGATGGTGGTAGGCTATGGCAAAGGCTAATAGACGTTTGTTGAAGATATCAAAGTTAAAAAGACTAAACTAGGATTAAAACATTTAAAATATATTCCCTCCATTTCATAAAGATAGGGATGGTTTTACCAAAGTGGTAAAATAAGGAGAGATAATTTTGTGTTGACATTTCAAAAATACTTTTGACGTGATGAGTAAAAATAGGATGTGATGTGTAGATTATTAGGAAAAAAGTATGATGTGATAGGTACAGTATGAAAAAGTAAGGGATAAAAATGGTTTTTTTAATAGAAATGGAAATGACTTTTAGGAACATAATTTTTTGAAATGTGAAGAACTTTATGGGACGGATTAAGTATTAAAATAGGAGTTTTATATTTTTTATTCTCCGAAATGGGAGTAAAAATGCATTTACATAACCAAGCATTGTCATGCACATTACCAAAAATGTCTATGTGCAGTGTCACATTACCACCATGTGAACTCCTATTTACGGAGTAAAAACATGAAACTCTTATTTTTATACTTTCTCTATGTTTGCTTCTATTTAGGGGTATTTCTTGATATCAAACTCTCTTAATAATTTCTTCTAAATTCATTAGATATCAATATTTACTCTTTTAGAAATTAAAAGTTTTGTTATTTGGAGCGGGAAGGATTCTCATGACATTAGAACCCCATGTCATAAGATGACCTTGGAGCGCTCCGGTGTCTCGTTTGTAAATTAACGGTCCTACCCCGCCACGAACCCTCCCGGTAAACCCCTCACCCCACCCTGACCCGAACACACCCACACCCCATTCAATTGCACTCGCGATTTAATTTTGACTTCGGAGTCAAAATTGAGTTCAAAGTCTAAATCAACTTGGGAGTGCAATTGAACGAGATAAGTAGGTTTACCGGGGGATTAGAAAGAGTAGGAACAGTCAATTTTATGAATAAAGTACTGGAGTACCATCGGATCATCTCATAACATTATCGGTCAATGTTATTGTCGTGGGAACCACCCCGTGTTTGGTGAAGTCAAACCTGAAACTTTTTAAAAGTTCACGAAACATCAAAAAGTTTTGTTATTTAGAAATATGAGAACTGAATAGGCATATCCGTTTTGCTCACTTCACCAGACACCAAATACAGCCTAAGTGCATATTAGCCTTGTTGGCATGATGCGAAATAAGCTCCTTGAATTTGAATTATTCTGAGAAAAAGACAAAAAAAATCTTTATTTATTTTTAGGTTTCTGGAATGATTGAAAAAAAGAAAATTATTTTATTTCAACAAATGATTTATGAAAATAACTAGAAAAAAGAAAAAAATTGACATGTGAATAGTGAAATGAGACTCAAAAAATTGAGATAGAGAGTATAATTGATACGGAGTAGTAGTATTTAGTTTTATTTAAGTTTGGGCTTCAAGTCTCTCATCTTGTTTTTGATGTTCTTTAGGCAATAGATTCCTCAAGATATAGATTTTTGTTTAACAAGGAGCTCAAGAATAGTGACGTTGGCCCTCTAAGGAGAATTGTCATTCCAAAGGTATACATATCATATTCCGCAATTTGTTTCTCTGTTAAAGTGTAACACTGCTTCTGTTACAATCAACCCAACCTAGTAACATAAATGCTAGAAACTTGCCTAGTTTGACACCAAAATGTTGACAATATAATTGTTTGCATACATAGTAATTATCGGTAAAAAAATTTATTGTGTGTGAGATAGTGATGATGGTAACCTTGGTGGATTTGTAAAACGATTCTTGTAATAATTCCTACTCCCTCATTTTCGCAAGAATGGTCAGAGGTTTGTGTTTTTGTCCAAAGTCTAAACACAAAAGTTCGCAAACAATATGGAATAACACAAAAAAGAAAGTATGACCAATATGTGAAACATAGTATGTCATTCCTTTTTTCTAAGAACTCACATTACAGATTACAAGCTTAAAAGATGTTCTAAAACAATTCACAATTAAAAATGAGAAAAGTAAGTCATAGAAACAGAAAAAATTATTGGATTTTGGAATTCAAAGCTGTAATCGAGTATTCAACAAGGCGTGGTTAGAGTAGCTCACGTGGTTTCCTTCCCTGATCCCCTCCCCCCAAATCCACACACAAGAAAGTTGAGCTTCGCTGCACTATCCACTCTGCTCAGTACTACAATCGAAAGCATGATTTTAAAGGGGTACAATACATTGTCATTTGTTTATTGTAGAAACCGGCAGAGGACTACCTCCCAAAACTTCTTATAAAGGAAGGGTTTCCGATCACAATGGTGGACATGGACGGACTGCACATTTGGAACTTCAAATTCAGGTTTGAATTCAATCGGTCAGGACTTGGGTACTTTGAATAACATGCATGTAATCCACTATATATATACTGCTTGCTTGTGGGGTAAATATATTAAGGACTCACCCCATTTAACATGGCATTGAGGGAACGTTAAGTATGATCTCTAAAGTGCAGCCTTATCTTGACATATACGGAGTATATATGCTTCTCCAAGGAAAAACAATAGTCCGTAAATAGAAAACACAGATTAAACAAGACTGGACTAATATGCTCGCTCCTTCAATTCAGTACCCATGAGAGATTTTGTACTTGTCTTTGTTTTCTTCCTCAGTTTGTAAGCTTTAACCAGTTATGTTTGTTTTCCGACTTCCTACCCCCACTCACAGGTATTGGCCAAACAACAGTAGTCGCATGTACGTGCTCGAAAATACAGGTTCAATTAATTCTAAACTCAATTATATATATCTGCTTCTTGTGAATCTTATATCCGACACCCAAGCATATATAAGAAGTGGTCCGTCTTATATGGTTCATTAGGTGGATTCGTGCATGAGCATAGTTTGGGTCATGGAGACTTCGTTGCTTTTTACATTGACGACCACAAAAACAACTATGTATGTGGCTTGCAGCCTTTAATTACTTCTTCAATCTATATATGCACATTAATTATTATGTACCCGGCCTACTTCAAAAGGGGCATTCATCAATATAATCTTGATGAGATATACAATTAATTAATGCATGGAGAACGCCGTGTAGGCTGATGATATGTCATCGTATAATTTTAGGTCATTGAAGCAAGGAAATCAGGGGAACAAGAAACATGCAGATCTGCAGGTGTTTTAACAGATGATTATAGCTGCCATGATGATGGTGATGTTGCAGTTGCAGTACAAAGTGCAGCCGAACCGGCTGATCAAAAATCATCACACTATTATCCGCAAAGCTTCCCGAGAGTGGACGAACCGGAAACATCTTTTGTTTACGATTCAACTAACTTCTCAAGTGAAGTGTCCCCCTTTGATTTTCTTGGGGGCTCGATGACTACCTACTCAAATTTCGATCCATTGTCAAGCTTCGGATCCATCGAGAGCTTATCCGTTGATGATTTCTACTCAGCTCTGACAAAGTGACTCTTGTACCAGAAGTAATTTATAGAGCTACTCCATTACACTTTTTGCAGCATGAAGTGCAATATATATATATATATATATATATATATATATATATATATATATATATATATATATATATATATATATATATATATATATATATATATATATATATATATATATGCCACCTAGAACTATGTGGTAGTATGACAAAATGGCTAGACCTCCGGTAGCATGTTTGTAACTTCTTTTTTTGGCTGTTTTTTACTACTTTGGGGGTCAAACAGGAAGCAGGTTCGACTCTGAGTTTGAACTTTTTTGAAACTTAATTACCTGCGAGTATATACAATACAATCTGTATTGTTGAAAATTATACTTCCTCCGCCCGTATTACCAGCAGTTCTTTCTTAGCGGGATAGGGAAAGCATATTTCTAACAATAGTGTAAACTTCGAATATTCAAATAAGGTTTATTAAGAGCATCTCCTAAGGACCCTCTATATGTTAAAATATGAAAGTTTTACAACACTTTATCGCTTATATATCTTACTTCAATGGGAATACTATAATTTAGCACACAAGCTACTTCGGATGGTAATGCTTTTCTAACTATATTTGTTATTTCTTATATAAATATAGTATTTATTGATTATTTTTTTTGCCTTGGACCTAAATCTATGCATGTTTTTTATTCTTCTGATTCCTTTCTTTTTATTCCTTTCTTTTTTCTAGCAAATTTTTAAAATTAGTTTTATGATACATGAATATAGTTTTATAATAAAAATTACATGTACAGATTTAGGTTCTGTTACTACTGCAGATTTCAACAAGTAAACAGGTCCTCCCCCAACCTACCCCTGCCTTTCCCAACACCTGCCACCACCCCAACACCCCCTCTCCAAAACACCGATTGTCATCATATCACATTGGTTTTAAATGACAACAAAACCAGTACATAAATTATATCTCTTGGAGTACAAATTACATAATCCTCTACAAAAAATACTCTTAATGACAAAGTCACGCGCCTAAAGCAAAATCTTACAAATAAGGTCGTCGTCTATTATGATTGTGTTATTGGTATTGCAATAACAGAACTGCTATCCGCCCTGAGGCCAGCATTATTATAAGTGTAACATGAAATTACTTAGAGAAAAGGAATAAAGAAGGAAATAAAAAGAAAAGTAATAAAGGTACTTCATTTGCTTTGAGCTGCATTAACTAGCTTTTCACTAAAATCCCAAACCTTCCTTCCGAGAGCTTCATCACGGGCCAACTCGCTTGGCTCGTATTCGTTGCAGTCTAGGAAGTACTTTCCGGTAACATCCTTCAGGTCTGGATGGAGTGCCACGTAGCACGTCGTAGCCGCCCCCTGGTCCATCAATATTGTTCATTAATGGTTTATATTATTATATGCTACCAAGGCCGGTTTTATGAATTTTTTTAATTATATGAAGCAGTAAAGAGTCAGTTTGGCAAAAGTTATTGCAGACTAAAATGTGCAGCATGGCAAGATTTCAGAAATGGGTAAAATCTTGTTTGTCATGAATGTGATTTTTTGTTGATTTACCTGGTGGACATTCTTCCACAGCATCCATGTGAATAGCTTCATAATTTCTGCAAGAAAAAAAGGAATCGTGATAAAAAGGAAAATTGATTTGACGAAAAGAGTGAGTACTATTGCTTTGATTTTCTTTTTAATTACTTGAAAAAAGAACAGAATGTCTCATAAGATTTGTCCATATTATCCCAGGATGCACAGAGTTCACAGTGATATTACTTCCCTCTTCCTGCATTTCAAGCATTCGATCAATAAACTTCAAAGGGTTATAAAGCAGAGATTATGGAAAACAGAATATAGATGTTACTCGTAAGCGGCGAGAGAGCTCATTAGCATGTAATAAATTGGCCAACTTGGATTGCCCATAAGCCATTTTTTCATGGTAGCTGATAAACAAAGAGGAACAAAAGCAAGCTGAGTAGGATTATTAATATTATGTAGAATTTAATTACACACGCTGAAACATAAGCAATTAATTAAGCAGACTAACAAATTAAAGGACGTGAAGAATAATATAAATATACCCGGTTTCATCATTGACCATGTCAAACCGTATTCCTTCTTTGTATGTGTAAAGGTGAGCCACAGATGACAAGTTCACAATCCTACCCTGAACACCAGTAACTTTTGCAGTTTCCTTCATTTTGTTCAAAAGAAGGTTTGTCAAGTAAAAATGTCCTGCAAACATGAGTAACATTTGAAGAGAACTGAACACCGAGAAAGAAAAGAAACAATTTCACAAAATAATACTCCTCCGGTCCTCCCATATATGTTCATTACCAAGATGATTTGTAGCAAATTGCATCTCATATCCATCTTTTGAGAGCTGGAATGGACAGAACATGACACCAGCATTGTTTCTAGTAAAAATAATAATCATATTTTGCAATCATTAGATTAATATTCCAATTAAACTCTAGTCATGTTTTGCATGCACTGGAGATGGAGATAGATTACATCAGGATGTTGAGAGGAAGGTGAAGAGCTTTGAAATCGTCCGCAAATGCCTTAACGGATTTCAAGGAGCCGAGGTCAAGATTGAGAATATCGACACGTGCAATGTTATTGCCCTTTAGGATGAGCTCTTTTGCTTCTCTTGCAGCGTCCATATTTCTTGTGGCGATGATGACATGTGCTCCCCTCAGTGCTAAAACTCTTGCCACTTCTAAACCAATCCCACTCGCACCACCTGCAGTTATTAGTTCAATTTTCATATCAAGTCATCAGTGTTTCACAGGCAGAAGCAGTTAGTTGCAATTGCATCACCACAAAACTGTCTTGCATTTGTTCATGTTAAAATTTTGTTATCCAATACTCTTGTTCTCCCATTTCATTACCAATAGTTTGTTTTTCCCTTGCTATTCTTCTTTGGTTTTGTTTTTTTATTTAACTTATTTCTATGTTTTTTGAGCCAAAGTGTTTTCGGAAAGTAGTGTCTCAACAAACTTTTTCGGTCGGTGTGCGTACATCAACGATCAACCCTCCTTGGAACCCATGTGAAGGATTACACTGCTTTTTCATTGTTGTTGTAAGACATAAACAGCCACTCGACATGAGTATGCTAGAAATCCACCAGGTTCGACATCAAGTACTTCACAGATATTAAAAAAAAAGTTATTGGGAGTTCAACACGGTGGGTTGTTTTCTTTCCTTTTGAAGAAATACCCTAAATGGTTTGGGAAGATATCATATCTGTTTTTGAAACCAACAAACATTAGGTAGAAAAAAATCATGTGACCCATGAAACCAAGTCAATAGATATAAGGTAAGAGGCTTGAAAATCAAGTTTACAAGCTGTAAAGTTTGCTAAACATCATTAAGATTAGTGAGGTGGTTAGTGAAGGTGGGCACAACTAAGCTGAACTAATATAGATCATAGTGTTGTTTATTGCTTTCCATCATATATATTCTTCGTTTGATGAGTGTTTGATTTGGTGTTTCTTAATGCGAGAGCTTTTCACATGAAAACCTTGCAAAAATCAGCCAGAGTCAGCAACATCCCTAATCATTTCTCCCTCTAGAAGTGTGCATAATTTCTAACATCCACATCTTTGTAACTTCAACAGACAAAAACAAATGCAATGTAAAACCAAATGCATATACAATGTGAATGATGGCAATGTATAGTACCAAAAAGTATTGTAGAATGTCGAACTATAGTGCCACAATGCCACATTATCACAGTAAACTCGTATTTTGGAGATAAATATATGGATTTCTTGTTTTTGTATTTTTTTCTATGTTTTACTCCAATTTAGAGTGATTTCTTAAGTCGCAAATCTTTGGTGCTAAATGAGTTTTCAAAAAATTTGCAATTTTTACTGCGACGATGAATTTCTTAGATGGACACAAAACGATTAGACTATGTGTTTCACCTAGAGGTGGCAATCGGATCAACCGGATCGGTTTCGGTTTGGATTTTTTCGGTTCGGATATCTTTCGGTTATATGTTATAATCGGTTTGGTTCGGTTCGAATCGGTTAAATTTCGGTTCGGATTTGATTTCGGTTCTATACATTTTTCGGTTCGGTTCGGTTCGGTTTCGAGTCAGTTCAGATAATGTTCGGTTATAAATCGGTTCGGATAGATTTCGGTTCGGATATATTTTGGTTTTGGGTCTAGTTCGGTTCGGATATATTTTGGTTTCGGATCAAATATATTTTGGATATATATTATTTTTTAATTAAAATTTAACTATCCGTGTTTCTTTTTATATTTTATCACATTTATTAATCTATCATCAATTCAATACCTCATATTATTTTATATTTTTTCTAGTTATATTATCTCTACCCTAAATAATCTTCCCTTTTTGACTTTTTAGTCATATTTTACAAATTTTGACTACAAATTATGAAAGCATATATATTTAATTATGATATAAATTTAATATAATTAAATTGATTTTAAAATTTAGTTTTGAAATATCAAATTTTTCTCACATCTACTAATATACTTATGTATATACGTAGTAAATGAAAGGATAAAAGATAAATTCAAATAGTCTTATATTCCATTTGAATACAATTTGGTAAAATTTGAGTAAAGCTGAGTGAAATTAAGTGAATTTTATTCAATTGAGTGCAAAATTTATTAATTATTGAGTATATTTGGTTGAAAATAGAGAAAATTAAATTTAATAGAGTCAAATATAATTAATTTTACACCTAAATGTAATGCTGTAGATCAAATTTGAAAATGATAACAGTAAAGGCTGCCGCTAGAGAGTCTTTTAAAAATGCTAACACTAGCATCTAATTTTATTGACTAATATTGAGTGAATTGGTTTGAAACTAATCAAATTAACTCTCAAATTAATAAAATTTATTGTAATAAGATATTAGGATAAAATCTAGTTATTTCATACAATTCATCATATATTCTTTTTGTCCTAAAAAAAATATCACATTTCACTATTTAAAAATTACGGAAATTTTATTTGTTTGTGCGTTATCATTTATATGTATAACTTATCTTTAATTTCTACATATAATAAATTT